TACACGACGACTATAAAAATCACTGGCTGTGACGTAATTACGTGACAGACTTATATCATTGGTAACGTCAACGTGTTTATTACAATACGCTCGGATTGTTATTGGTCAATGAATGTCATTCACCACCGGATCATAAAATGTGTAAATTTTTTATTAATATGGTAAGTTTGTAAATTGGTAACCGATATTCCCCAAACTTCAACGGAAGACAATAAAAACATAAATGTTGTCCCAAACCCAAAAACAAAAACAAACGATATAAACTTAACAAATACTAGTAATTATAAACAAAACAATAACAAAATAGAAGCCCTAAACATATCAAAATTTAACAGAGAAATTGGAATCTTTGGGAAAAAAAACACTGAGAAATTAGGACCCTAGCTGATGAAGTGATGATATATGCATAATCGCGTAATAGAAAAGAAACATATTTTTTGAGAATAACATAAATAAATTGCAGAACAAAAATACGTTTGTGATTTTATACATTGCAGAACCCCAAAATGTAATACAAAAATTATTCATTAGTTATAAGAAAATATTTAAAAAAAAATTAACAATAGTAAATAGAATAAATTTTGTTGTTAAACGAAGTTATTTAGTAAATACAATCAATTTTGTTGTTAAACGAATCAACTGTGACTGTACTTAGAAAAAATAATTATTTTGTTTGTCAATAAGTAAAATGAAAGAAAAATAAACAAGTTTCAAGGATATTTTCTGTCAAAAACGCAATATCTGCATTTTTACGTTTTTTTTTTATGCAAGTTTTCTCCATTGCTAAATCTTGCATGAAGATTACAACAACAAAAATATCATTGTTTCAAGAACTTCCTGCACTTGTAGATTCTTGAGACCGAAAAGGCGAAAACAACTCAAGATCTCTTTTTCTTGGATCCCAAAAAACGCCTAAAGAGTTTAAAAACAAAAGTTCCCTGAATTTGTGTGTTTGAAACTAGAACAAGAACACCTTTTAACTTTTGAGATGGTTTAGTCATCAGTAAACATGGTTTCTTCTTGGGGAATTTAAGTTCTGCAAAAAAACCCAAAAAACAAAAAAAGACTCGTCAAAGAAATTGAAAGAATCTCTATGCAAATCGCAAGTAATTTTGGTAACCAGAATTCATACCATTTGATTACCAAAGTCTTCGTTTCTAGCGATTTCCATGGAACCATGATAATGGATATCGCGTTTTCTTTGCTTAGGCTTGCTCGAATTCTCTGTTGTTTGAGAGAAATAAGGAAAGAATGTCGGAAGCAAGACAAGACCACGATCCATGTCGAATACATTAGCTCTTAATCGCAACATCACTTGCGTAAGCGCCTTCATTGCTGCATCAAGACTTCCTGTTATCTATACCACACAGAAAAGAAAAGAAAAAACATGGTTTTAAGTCTTTCTAAAACAACACAATATCGAGAAGCTTAAGCAATAAAGGTGAAATGGATTTTGTTACCTGGACCATCTCCTCTTCCTCACGAGCAATTGTCGTTACATCTTCGCCTTGAAAAATGCGGATATTCGCTTTTGTGACACTCCTCATCTCGGATATAAGAGCTCCACCTTTTCCAATGAGACAGCCTACTTGAGAGCTTGGAACAAGTAGACGAGTGGAGATTGCAGAATCAGTTGAATCTTTCCCCACTTTTTCACTGCATCGCGTTTGTAAGCGTAATGCTGCAATCACCGTTGGGGATTGATCTTCGAAGAACTGTTATACATCAACTTGGTTCAACATTTCACATATATAAAAACGAGATTTTCTTAAGGCGAAAAGGTTTTGTGTTACCTCCTTTGATGATATGAAAATTATGCAATCATCATCTTCATCAGTTTCTGAGGTATTGACTCTAATGTTTGCACCGGATTCTTGCCTAATCTGATTTATGAAAGAGCCGCCTTTACCTATTACACCTCCAACATTTTCAGCTGGACATATGAAGCAGATTGAAAACTCTCTTGGCTCAGCAACATCTCTCGAGGCAGGATAGTTCTTGTGAGAGCTCGTAAGCGCCGGACTCATTAGCTTTCCACCGGATTGATGCATGTTACTTGAGGTAGACAGAAAGTAGCTTTGAAATCGCGACGGATTATCATAAAGCAGAGAGGCAACTCGGTAAAGAGCTTCCCTAACAGCTGAGGGATCTCCAATTATCTGAAAGTCAATCAACAAGATCCATAAGCTAAATCAGATTCACAACCACACTAACTCAAAGCTTGAGAGATTTCTTAGAAGACTTGTTGCATTACCTGTAGAAGCTCGTCATGGCTCAAAGCTAAAGCACAAATGGGAAGATTATCGTTTATGACACGAATTTGAGCATTGGTTTCACTACGCAGTTTTTGAATCACTTGTCCACCTTTCCCAATAAGACAACCAATTTGATCCGAAGGCACAAGCATCCTCACAGTAACTGTTTGTTTCTCGCTATAC